TCCAAATGGACAACACACACAAGCATGCCACATAGGCAATGTCACTCTCAATGACAAGCTTCAGTTGACAAATGTGTTATTTGTTCCTAACTTTCACTTCAATCTCATCTCAGTCTCAAAACTGGTTGCATCACACAACATTGTTGCTCAATTCATGTCATCATGTTGCATATTACAGGACCTGAACACTAAGCAAATGATTGGTTTTGCTGAACTGAAAGATGGTCTCTATCATCTGCACATTGGATCTACATTTTCCCATTCTTCTGTTCATAACAATTCCAATGTATCTACTCATTTACGTGTAATTGCAAATACTTCTTGTACTCAGAAATCTGCCATCTGGCATAACAGACTTGGTCACTTATCATATACTAGAATGTCAAAATTACCTATTGCTTTTTTTGATTCCAATACTTTGACAGACACACCTTGTGATGTATGCCATTTTGCAAAGCAAAAAAAATTGAGTTTATGAGCACATCTATTGCTTCTGACTGCTTTTATCTTATACACTGTGATATATGGGGCCCATTTCATACTAAATCTCATGATGGTTACAATTACTTCCTTACTATTGTAGATGATCATTGTAGAACCACATGGATTTATCCCTTATCCCATAAATCTGATACTGCATCATGCATCCAAAATTTTTCAAATATGGTCCAAACTCAGTTCAATAAGAAAATCAAAATTTTGAGATCTGACAATGGTACTGAATTTTTCATGCATGAGTTCTTTTCCAAAACTGGGATAATTCACCAAAAGAGTTGTGTAGAAACCCCTCAGCAAAATGCCAGGGTAGAAAGAAAGCACCAGCACTTGCTTCAAGTAGCTAGAGCTTTACTTTTTAATGCTCATTTGCCACTAACCTTTTGGATTGATTGTGTATTAGATGCAGCTCATATCATTAATAGAGTGCCTACACCAATTCTGCAAGGTAAGTCCCCATTTGAGGTGCTATATGGTAAGCTGCCTACTTATGATCATCTTAAAGTTGTTGGCTGTTTATGTTATGCATCTACTCTCACTGCTCATAGATCTAAATTTACACCAAGAGCATCTAAATGCATCTTTCTTGGCTATCCATTGGGTTGTAAAGGATATCAGCTTTACAACTTAGATACCAAGAATACAATGCTATCCAGAAATGTTCAGTTCTATGAATCTATTTTTCCCTTTGCCAAAACAACCACTGACAGTCCTACTACTTTATTCCTTCCTCCTTTTGATGATTTCTTCCCAGATCACAACTCTGTACCTTCTTTGCAAACAAGAACTCCCTCTCCCATCTTAAATACAAGAAACCCCTCACCTACTACACACTCTTCCCCTACTGCTCACTCTCAAAATTCTACTACCCCAACTCCCTTAAACTGCTCACCAATCTCCTCACATAATCAACCTCCAACAGACTTGTCCCTTGTACCTACAAGAAAATCAAACAGAACAACAAAAATCCCAGCTTACTTAAACATCTATGATCACAACATCAAACCATCCTCCAATTCTGCCCACACCGAACATCACATTTCTGGGACAACCCCTTACCCAATTCAAAACCATTTGTCTACAAACAATCTATCATCATCACATTCCTGTTTCACTGCAGCAATTTCAAAACTTACTGAACCTACTTCTTGTACTCAAGCTGCCAAAGACCCACTTTGGCAGGTTGCAATGAAAAAGGAACTTGATGCATTAGAAAAACACCAACACCTGGTATTTAACTGACCTTCCTGAAGGTAAAAACTGTGTTGGCTGTAAATCGGTATATAAAATAAAGTATAAATCTGATGGTAGTGTTGAAAGGTATAAGGCAAGGCTAGTTGCCAAAGGCTATACACAGGAGGAAGGCATTGATTACTTTGATACCTTCTATCCTGTGGCCAAAATCACTACTGTTAGATTTCTAGTAGCTCTTGCATCTATTTTAAACTGGACAATCCAACAATTGGATGTCAATAATGCATTTCTGCATGGGGATCTTGATGAAGAGGTTTACATGAAACCTCCCCCAGGATACTGTACTAAATCTGATAAAAGGGTTTGTAGATTAACCAAAAGTCTTTATTGCCTGAAACAGGCCTCAAGACAATGGTTTCACAAACTCACAACTTGTTTACTTTCCTATGGCTTTACACAATCTGTGGCTGATTGTTCTTTGTTTACCCTTTCTGATTGAGATATTTTTATTGCTTTACTAGTATATGTTGATGATGTGATCATAGCTGGAAATAACAATGAGAAAATATCTGCTATTGAATCCCATTTGGACAATTGTTTTACTATTAAAGATTTGGGAATCTGGAAATACATTTTAGGCATTGAGTTTGCCCATTCTGACAAAGGTATAAACATGTGTCAAAGGAAATATGCATTTGATATTTTAAAAGATACAGGTTTCCTTGGCTGCAAACTTGCTAGCACACCAATGGACCCTCTTTTAAAACTCAGTGCCAATTCAGATACAGCAGAGCCTACAGATGCTTCAGAATACAGGAGGTTGGTAGGTAGACTTCCTTACCTTACTATAACTAGACCAGACTTAGCCTATAGTGTCCACATACTTAGCCAATTCATGTCAAATCCTTCTAAACAACATTTATCAGCTGCACATAGAGTCCTTAGGTATATTAAGGGTTTTGTAGGTAAAGGGTTGTTCTTTTCAAAAACCTCTAAGTTACAATTACATGCTTTCAGTGACAGTGATTGGGCAGGGTGTTTGGACACTAGGAAAAGTCTAACTGGCTATAGTGTTTATCTTGGTGATTCTCTTATATCTTGGAAATCAAAGAAACAATCTACTATAAGTAGATCTTCAGCAGAAGCTGAATATAGAGCCCTTGCATCTACATCTTATGAAATACAATGGCTCTTATATTTATTTACAGATCTACACTTAACCCATCCCTCCCAGTTGTTATTTTTTGTGACAGCAAATCTGCTATAGCCATTGCCTCAAACCCAGTGTTTCATGAGAGGACAAAACATATTCAAATTGACTGCCACCTCATCAGGGAGAAGCTCAGCCAGAAGATCATCACACTCCAGTATATCCCCACAAAGGAGTAAGTAGCAGACATTCTAACAAAACCACTTGCTGGGCCTGCTTTCTCCCATCTTGAAGCCAGGCTACACATGTCCAATATTCATGTATAGCTTGCGGGGGGAGGGGGAGGTATTAGAGTTGTTATTTGTATTTCATAAGTTGCTATTTGTATTTTATAAATAGTATTAGAGTTGTTAGA